ATAGGGGTTGATTTGTAACTTCACTAAACTATAGGGTCTGTTTGCTAATTTAATTAACCAAAGTAGGACTGATTTGGTTAAAATAAATCAAGGGAGCGGTTGATTTTTCCCATTAACACCAAAGTGGGTTGATTTGGTGATATTGTACAAAAATAGGGTTATTTTGATTAAATATTTGCAAATGGGTTGATTTTAATTTAAAACTAAAAATGCAGGGACTGGTATGGCATTAACTCATAGAAGGGGTTAATCTAGACAGCTAGCTCAAATAAAGGGGAAAGGGGTGTCGTGTTCTTCCCTTCAACTAATCGGGAATGAGAAAAAGAAAAAGAACGCCAATGAAGCAACCTCGATGGGCATCGACTGTGGGTGAATTGGAGAAGCTAATATGGTGTTCATCTAATTCGAAGAAAGAAGAATCGGAGAAGCATAGGTGGTTGGATGTGGTGGCCGATGGTCTTAGTCGTAAGGCGGTCGGGACTCCGATCAGGGATATGTGTTTGAGGATGACAATGATTACTCCACTCTTGGAGCAGATTCGAAAGGCTCAAGTTGGCGCTATGAAGGAAGAGCACTGAAAGAGTGAGCGCATTGTTGTTCCGGTGGCTTCCTTTGATTATGATAGCCAAGGGTTATTGACTCTCCATCGGAGTGTGCGGGTTCCTTACTTAGGTAGTACACAGAAGTTTCTTATGGAGGAGGCACACAAGTCAAGGTTATCTATCTATCTTAGAGCCACAAAGATGTAGAAAGATATCCATCCTGATTATTGGTGTCCATGTATGAAGCAGGATGTAGCTTGGTATTTGGAGAGGTGCTTGACTTGGAGGAAAGTCAAGGCCGAACATCAAGGACTTCATGGCAAGATGCAGCCGTTAGACATTCCCAATTGGAAATAGGAACAGATCACCATGGGTTTTATCATAAATTACCACAAACAGCGTGTGGAGTGAATTCGATATGGGTCATCGTCGATCGATTAACCAAGGGAGCGCATTTCATTCCGATTCAGGAGAGTATCTCTATTGAGAAGTTGGGCGACATTTACATCAGGGAGGTTGTGGCACATCATGGGGTGCCAATTTCAGTGGTTTCAGACAAGGATGTCCGGTTTACTTCCAGGTTTTGTAAGAGGTTTCAAGAGGAGTTGGGTGCCCGTCTATACTTTAGAATGGATGTCCACCCATAGACTGACAGACAAAGTGAGCGGACTATCCAGATCCTGGAGGATATGATTTAGGCATGTGTATTGGATTTTAGTAGGAGTTGGGATACATATCTCCTTTTGGTGGAGTTTTCATATAACAACAATTATCATGTCAGCACTGATCGACCTCCTTTTAAGATGCTTTATAAGAGGAAGTGTAGGACCACGATATGTTGGGGTGAGGTTGGTCAGTGAGTTATGGGGAGTACTGAAGTGATACTCAAGACTACTGAGTGAATTCAGCAGGTTCATGGTAGAATTCAGACAACACATAGTCGGTAGAAGAGCTATGCCGACAAACTCTGATCAGATCTAGAGTTCCACATTGAGGATATGGTTCTCCTGAAGGAGTCACCTTGGAAAGATGTCATCCAATTCAAGAATAGGGGCAAGTTGTGCCCTAGGTACATCGGTCCCTTTAGGGTTTTGGCCCGGGTTGGCTGGGTTACTTATCGCTTGGATCTTCTCGAGGAGCTTAGTCAGATCCATATCATGCTTCATGCCTCTCAACTGCATAAATATTTGGTTGATGATTCCGCAGTGGTTCCATTAGAAGATATTTAGGTGGATGATCGCCTAAATTATATCGAGAGACAGGTGGTGATCCTTTACCGAAAGACGAAAACCTTAAGGAACAATGTTGTTGAGTTGGTGAAAGTATAGTGGTAGCACCGCAAGGGTTCAAAACGGACGTGGGAGCCTAAGGACGGATGAGGGAGCATTACACAAAGTTATTTACGGCAGTAGACTTTGAGGAAGAAGGTTGATTCAAGTGGGGGAGAATTGTAACATTTGCGATTTTTAGGTATGTTACTTTTAACCCGTAATTTGTAAATTCCATTCATTTTGGCCCCTAGACGAGTACGATGGGCGTACTAGCTCGAGGGTTGGACATGAAGGCACCCACATATGTTGCACGTACATGGGAGTACACTAAGCGTACTCTAAGCAGGGGAAAAAAAACTAATTTTTTGGGTTTGTGCCCTATTTAATCAACTTATGTTGCCTTGGGAGAATCTTATAGTCAGCCTCCACTTCTCCAAACCTTAAGAACGAAACCCTAGCCTCATTTTAGTGTTTATGAGCCATTGTGTGATTTGGTAGTGGTTTTTGGGTCCCTTTAAGGAAGTGAATATCTGGTGGACTTGGAGCTTGAAGATTCAGGATCTTCATCAACTTAGCAAACTATTTTAGGTATAAAGCTCCTAACTTGATGGTTATTTATGATAAATCTTTTTAAGGCTCTATTTGTGCGTTTTCGGTACTTTAAGCCATGCTTGGGAGTATAGGCTACTCCAACAACTTGGGGTGATAGATCTAGGCTTTTCTGAGGTCCCATTTTCATAAAAATGATAGCTTGAGGGGTTTAGCTCAACCATGCAAGGTTGAAGTTCTTCTTAATGGAGTCAAGATGCTAGATTTGGACTTTAAGGTGTTTTTAGTCATCTAAAGGCTTAAAGTCTTCGACTTTATGGTTTAAGGACTTAATAAAATGTTGATTTGAGGATTGGATATTAATGTCTTAAGTGGTTAAGACTTCTGGGCAAGGACTAGGATTAAGACTATTATGCTTGGCGTACTCCTGAGTACGCATGGTGTACTGGGTGCGAGCCCCATTTCCAGATCAGTTGTGTACGCAAGGCAGACAAGCCAGGTACGCCGAGCATACACTAACTAGTAGCCCGATGAAGGCTGGGCTTGGATTATTTGGGCTTTGTATTGATTAGGCTTGGACCTTTAACTTCTATGGAATTAGGTCATTTCTAGAATTTGGGCTATTGTTTGAATTTGGGCCTTCTTGGATTGGGCCCATAATAGGCTTTGGGCTAGATTGGGCTTTTGGAGCTTTTGGGTTGGGCTTTGGTTATTGGGCTATCTGAGGAAAGGGTACAATGGTCTTTTATGATGGGAGTTGGACAATTGAATGAGATTCATACTGTGGGAGTTGGACAATTGAATGAGTGGATTGTATGTTATTTATCTTAGTGATTCTTGCATGTGTTTTATGTGATTGTATGAATGTCGGACGGGCCCCGATTCCAAGTGAGGCATGATAGTTGTGATGAGGCAGGGTCTATCTTATATTGTGGACAAATCTGTTCCGAGCAGGGCTTAATGTCGGGTGGGGCCTAAGGGTTGTTGGGTATGGCACATCATATGTTTGATATGTATGTTATGAGGTGTTTTAAGGAAGTCACTAAGCTTCATGCTTATGGTTTTGAGTTATATTTTAGGTATTTCCGGATCAAAGGGGAAGAGCTCGGGATGATCGCATCGCACACAGCACATTGTTCTACGTTTTATTTGACTCTGATATAACCGGATGATTATTGATATAATTATGATTTCATTATGGTTTTTTATGAAACGTTTTGGATGATGGTTTTATTATTATAAAAATGAAAATTTTTGTCTTAAATTTTGGGATGTTACAAATTCCGATGTACTGAACTCCGTGAAATGGTGTTTGAAGATTTGCGTTTAATTAATCCAAAAAAGTCTGATTTTTTGACTTTTATAAATATTTTTGTTAAAAATATTTCGACTATAAAATTAAATATTGGACTATATCCTAAGTCCAAATATGCTTTCAGAATTTCCATCTAAGGTATGCAAGTACCTCAACAGAAAGAAACAATTTTAGCAGTTTTAAGAAAATCAATATTATATTGGTTTCGATTTTTAAAACAGTCGTATATTTTGCATAAGAACTCAGTTTCGGATGTTCTTTATGTTTTCGGAAATAGGGGAAATATGTACTACGAGACTAGAATGTTTGCTTTGCTCACAACTGCTTAATACGAAATTTCAGGTTTTCAGACACATTAACTAGGGTTGTGATGATGTGCTCTAGTAAGCACGGAAGAGTCGTGCCTGGTCGCAACAAGAAAAAATTGCGTGCCTCAGTGAGCACAGAAGAGTCGTGCCCGGCCACAGCAGAATACGCCTCAAGGCGTAGCATGCCCAGCTCGCCGAACCCAACGCAATCTAGTGCCCTCCAGCGGCCTTCAAAGCAGGGCGTTCCCGAAGAAAGGCTCGGCCCCTCCTGGGCCGACTTTTTCTCCAAGACAAATACAACAGTCAGGCGACAAAGCAGGTGCTCAGGGCACTATCGTTGCAACCAATCATTGGTCCTAACAGATTCTGGAGCATGATCCACCGATCAGCATCCCCGATCCTGTCGGGTCAGACGCCCTTGTCCCGTACGGACTAGCAAGGGAGTTCAGTATAAAAGGCTACCCCCGAAGCCTTGAGAAGTAAGCCACTCTCTTCCAGTTACTCCTTATTAAACCATCAAAGATACTCACTGACTTGACCGTCAGAGCGTTTTCCTAGGAGTCCCTCTTGGAGAATGACTGACAATTTCTTTCTTGTTGTGACCTTGCAGGTTCACCAGGGTGATCCGATCTGGAGAACCAAGAGCGGAAGATCAGGTCACATCATTTGGCACCATCTAACGTGTGACAAAGAATAAACCAAAAGCACACCACTCATCATAGAAACATGGCATTCGGTGATACAGGGTGAACTAACGGAACGCCAACTAGCCCCATTCGATCTATGGCGTCATTAGAGCAAACCCCTACCCTGCCTCCTGCGATAATGACCAGAGAAACACCCGACGAGAGCGGTTCAGTAGTAGCTGCCGTACCACTTGTCGAACAAGAGCAACCAACCAACAGAGGACAACCTCCCTCCGCCGCCATGTCATCAACAAGCATTCTAAAACAGACATCCCACCTTATAGCAGCGCCAACTGGTGTGGAGCCATCAATAGTGGAAGACCTCAGGGTTACACCAATGTTTCTCCAATAGTCTTCAACAAATCAGATGACAGCTGCATCACCGTTGGTTTTCCAGACACCACCATCGTTAAACCAGACGATAGTGGCTCAATCGGTGGTTTTTGAGGCACCTCCACCGTCAAACCAGACGACAGTGGCTTAACTTGTGGTTTTCCAAATAACACCACTAGCAAACCAGATGATAGGGGAACAACCCACAATTTTCTCACCACCAATTGCATAGATGGAGGAGGAAGTACCAGTGGTTCTCCAAAAGCAACCACTTGACCAGTCAGTGAGAAACCAAACAATGACCTTCCCGACAAACTCATTTACGGTGGTCTTCCAAACAACACCACCTCCAAACAAGACGATAGGGGCACAACCCACGATTTTCGCACCTAATAACCTCCATATACAAAGCTCTCCCATATTTCCCATCCTGATGTTAACCTTACCATTTCCACACCAAGAATTTTATGGGCTAAACCCTAGCCACTAATCACCCTACAACAGTACAATCATTCACCCACATACCATAGCTCTGTAATATAACTCACAAGATGCTCTCCCTATCCCAAATCAAGACTGCCTATTACGCAAAGTGACATCTCCATTCACAAAGGAACTTCTAGACTACGAAATCCCAAACACAGCCAAACTGCCACACTTAAAAACCTACAACGGAACCATAGACCCCGACAACCACATCAATACGTATGAATGGATGATGATATCGCTCAAGATAGATAAGCGATTCTAGTGTATGTACTTCCCGACCACCCTAGACGGCAATGCAGGAACGTGGTTCAAAACGTTTGGACCAAGAAGCATATACAACTTTGGGTAGCTAAAATATCTTTTCTTGACAAAATTCATGTTGTTGAGGAAATACAAAGGAGATCCACACTCAATCATCGGTTGTGAATAGAAAGAAGGGGAAATAGTCAGAGAATATTTCACTAGATTTACAAACATCATGCTTGACGTCACAGGTCACGACAAAGGCTTAATAGCGAGCACCTTTACATGGGGACTCCTACCAGGCCCTCTGTCACAAAAGCTCACGGGAAAAAACCACAAACATGGGCAGAGATGAAAGAAAAGGTAGAACAATATCTAAGGAAGGAGGAAGGGGAAGCAACGAAACAAGCATACCAAAATGCCATGAGCGCTTCGACCGCGAAGCGCCACAACTCACTGGCCAACAAGAAGCCCAATCCGGAAGACGACACTTCAGGCGGGGAAAGCGTCTGCAAGGTCATTTTAGGCCATTCCCAAGAGACGAAAGGCGTGGCAGGCGACCAAACATCTATGTGGTCTCTGACAAACAACCAACAAAAGGAGTGAAGGGTCGATTCTGTGAGTACCACAAAAGAGAAACCCACTACATAGTTAATTGCTTGGTGCTGAAGAGGGAGATGGAGGAAAAGTAACTCAAAGGAAACCTCATTGAGGTAGCATGCAATCTTTGAGCAAAATTCAATGCCGAGAATGCCAAAGACACAACAAGAGAGTGCAACCATCCCCAAGAGATCCTAATGATACGGTCCAAGCGGGGAAGGCAATGAGAACATGACGACATAGACAAACTCACCAGGGTGATAGATGGGCTCACATTTTCGGTGAAGGAACCTCGAAGCTCGGAGAACTTCGTCTACGAACATTGCTTCCGCCTGCTCCCCAACAGATGCAAAGAGAATCTCAAGCCTACCACGGGAAGCTTGACAGGCTTCACCGAACATAGCCTATGGCCCATGGGCATGATCTATCTACCCTTCATGTTGACCAGTCATGACAAAAGAAGAAGAAAGACATCATTAATTGACTTTGTCGTGATAAGGCACCCAACAGAGCACAACATTATCTTGGGCAGGATCACCCTACTCAAATTTGGAGCGATCACATCAACCATGTACAAGATTGTAAAATTCAGCACTATAGAGGGACCGAGAATAGTCCTGGTGATACCACCCAGGGAGCTATAATGTTATGAGATCATGAAACCGGCAAAGATAGTACAAGAAAACAAAAAGTCGTGCATCGAGCCAAAAAGCGACAAAGAAATCATCAACAAGGAATACCCATATCAACTAGTCAGTGTTGGCAGTAACCTTCCCCCAGTCACGAGGCAGGCATTGATTAGCCTCCTAAAGAAATACATATATCTTTTTGCCTAGACCCCTACATACATAGTAGGGGCAGATAGAAAAGTAATAGAGCACAAACTCATGATCAAACAGGAACAAAAGAAACCAAACAGAAGAAGAGGGTCCACGGAGGCGATCGGAACATGGCAATCAACGTTGAAGTCGCCAAGCTGACCAAGGCAGGAATCCTATGAGAAGCAGTATTATCAACCTGTATCGCCAACCACATTAAGGTAAAAAATCATGACAAATCATGGAGCATGTGCATCGATTATTCACAATTGAATAAGGCATGCCCTAAGGATTGCTACCTTTTGCTAGAAATCGACCAAAAAGTGGAATCCTTACAAGGCTTTAAATTAAAATGCTTCCTGGATGCCTACAAAGGGTACCATAAGATCCTAATGATCAAAGAGGATGAGGAGAAGACGACTATATACAAGGACCATGGATCCTTCTACTACACCAAAATAATGTTCGGCTTGAAAAACGTAGAGGCAACTTATCAACAGCTAGTCGACTCCATCTTCGCCAAGAAAATCGAAAGAAACATCAAAGTCTATGTCGATGACATGGTCATCAAAATCCCGAATGAGAAGAAATTGTTCGACAACATGGAGGAAACTTTCAAAACATTAGATAAAGTAAAGATGATGCTAAACCCGAGAAAATGCACCTTCGGAGTGGAGGAAAGACAATTCCTGGGATATTACGGTACCAAGAAAAGGATACAGCCAAGCTATAATGACCCAAATTTTCCAATTAAAATTTTCATTTTTAGATCATCAAAACTTTCTCATAAATAAGAAAATTCAATAACAACTATTTTTTTAAATTCGTAACATAAAACATTTTATTCAATATATCAGAGTGTCCCAAAATAAAATCATCGGAGAGAGTACACGTCGCACCATCAAGCTGGGCCCTTGCCCTTAGGCTCTGAAGTACCTGAAACAAAACAACAAACTGTAAGCTAATGCTTAGTGAGTTGCCCAAAGCATACCCACACAATCCACATAATCACATAATCCATAATATCTCTATAAGCTACACATAACACATAAGCCATGCATACAAACATATAAGGATGCCATGGAAACCACCCAAGGTCTTACACCAAGTGCCACTAGAACCCCCACATGGTATTAACTATCTACCATTGGAACCCACACATGGTCTTTACTAGCCGCCACTAAAACCCCCCACATGATCTTGGCTAACTGTCGTTGGAACCTCAACACGGTCTACACTAACCATAGAAATATCATACGAGATATACATGTAAACATACTAGGAAGCCATGGAAGCCCTCAAAGGACTTATACCAAACGCCATAGGAACCTCCTCATGGTCTTAATATACTGCCACAGGAGCCCCCTAGGGACTTCCATACAAGTTTCATAGCGACATATCACACAATCAACTAACAATCCATATATCATGAACTGGGTTGGCCTTGGTGCCTTAAACCCAATGGTATGGTGAGAAGACTCACCTCTCAATAAATGTTGAGCCGATAAGATAAGATAAGATAGGTCCCAATGCGCAACTCCAACTCAACGACCTACAATCATCATCTGACTAGTTTTGTCAAAATCTTGAGATACCAACAATACACTCAAAGTCGAACTTGGTTAACCCTGGTCAAAGTCCAAGTCAAAAGTCAAGGTCAATCGTCTATGTTGACCCCAACTCGTCAAGTGCATCTAGCAACTCGTCGAGTTCCTTCAGACTCCATAAGTTCAAAATCTCGAGTCAACTTGCCAAGTTACTTGACTAACCCATCGAGTTCTTTAGTGTCCAGGAGACCGAAAACTTGAGTAGACTGAAAACTTTAATCAACTCACCGAGATCACTCAGAATCCCGAAAACGGGTAAACCCTACCCAACGCATTGAGTTGGCTGAGCAACTCATCGATTTCCTTCATCCCTTTTCATGTTCAGTCCTTTCCAGTTGAATCCAAGGCACCAAACTATAGATCCAGCCCCTATGGTGTAGTTACCACATAAAGTTGCAAACTTTACGTGCATGCAAGGCCTCAAACGGCTAACACGCTAAAACTAAGGTTTATACAAGGTTTAGGGCACGGAAAAGGGCCTAGAATAAATAAAGTAAGTAACTTTATGTCCATGGAGGCCTAGAGGTCTCCAGATCTGGAACCATATACTCATGACCAATTCAAACCCGAGAATGACACCATTATGCACCAAAAGTGAAAATAAACTTTCACAAGGTGAGATCTAAGAAAATAGTGGTGAAGGTAGCAACTTTATACCTCAATATGGTTGCCAAAAATGAGTAGATGTCGGATCTACAACTTCTCCTTTTGCTCTAACCTCTTCAAGTTCCAAATCGCTTCACACTCACACCAAAATGACTCTCAAGGCTCTCTCACACACTCAAGAAGGCACAAGGCTTGAATTAGGGTTTCTTTGGAGTATAAAGACGATGAGGGAGGCCAGAAATGAGCCATAAGTTCCTTCAATAAGGTACAACATCTGAAAATTAGGGTTTCGCTTTACACCGTCTACTCGTCGATTTGGGCCTTCCAACTCATTGAGTAGATCCTAAATCCCGCATCCAAAAAGATCTCTTGTCGATGAGTTAGATCTCCCCAACTCGTCGAGTTCCAGTCTAAAACCCTAAAAATCCTGAAAAGTAATTGATACCTGAAATGAGCGTTACACAAGTCCAGCCAAAGTCGACGAATTCATGGAAGCACTATCTCCAAATACCCTACGGGACACCCAGGGACTGAACAAAAAGTAAAAAGCGTTAAGTCGTTTCATTTCCGAGTCAGCAGAGAAAGCCATGCCGCAATTTCGCACCCTCAAGGGGTGCATTGAGAAAAGCAACTTTCAATGGATGGCCGCAACAAAAGCAGTGCTTCAGCAAATCAAGGCAGCCCTATACAAGCTTCCCATGCTGGCCAGTCCCATCCCAGGCGAAACGCTACAAATATATCTCTCAGCTTCAGAAGATGCCATATCCTCATTCTTGGTGGTAGAAAGGGACAGCAGGCAGGCACCAGTTTACTATGTCAGTCGTGCATTACAGGGCCCCAAAATCAATTATCCATACTCAAAAAGTTGGTGCTCGCGCTCATCTACGTAGCACGACGGCTGAGGCGCTACTTTCAAGCGCACCAAATAGAAGTACTAACAAACCACCCAATCAAGCA